GAATGTGTACACATTTCAAGACAATAAAACCATCGCAGGCCTGTGTTAACAATAAAACCATCGCAGGCCTGTGTTAACAATAAAACCATCGCAGGCCTGTGTTATTAAATACACAACATTACTTAAAGGCTTTCAAAGTCCAAGTACTTCAATTTTCATGTTATTTATTTATATAAGTTCAAAACATTTTTCTATTGTTAAAGTATTTTTCCGTATGATTCAAAAGGACAATTAATATCACGTTTTATTTACTTGGACTATTAATATTATTTGAGATTTTTTATTGTTAGAATACTATGATTTTATCCGGAACGACATTTTTTGTCAGTTGGGAAAATAAAGTATTCACATAATTTTAAATTCTGCTTTGTACTACTGGTAAGTGATTCTAATTGCAGAATACACATTTGGCTAAACTTCTCGAACCAATACTAAAATAAATAACTTAATTTGTAAGGTTTTAATGATTCTTCAAATTTCAAACCGGAAGGAACTTACCTCCTGAGGAAAAAAAGGGGCTTGGAGAGAAATACTAGCGCCTATACAAAAGTTTCCGTAAGCGAGGGTAATAAGCGTGAGCCATTGTTGGGACGTATACTTTTCATTCTTTTTCTTTGGCTCGGTATTCGAGATTTCATCCTTTTCGCTAGGTTCTGCTTCCGTCTTCTGGTTACCTTCTTCTACTGATTTATAGACTTTTATTTCAAGTGAATCTTTTTCTAGTAGAGGAGTCTTTACATCTGTTTCCATGATAGACGGTTTTAATAGTTTTTAGATGTTGGAAACTATTTTTTTTTAAATTGATTTCTCGATCTGAATGTATTGGAAATCAACGTCCCAAAATAGATATTTACCAAACCAACTTCAAACTTCCTATATAATCCTTAAAGTTGAAAAATACCTAGAAAAAAAGTTAAAATAATTTGCATAATTAATTTTTAAACGAAAATAAATGGATAAAATAATTAATTATTTGAACAGATCTTTGGGTTTTCGAAGAATTGTTGGGCCTGGTGGTTATGGCGCTCGACTTACAATCTAAGGGTCGAGAGTTCGAATCCCCTGCCCCCGAACGTGGGGCGCTCGACTTACAATCTGAGGGTCGAGAGTTCGAATCCCCTGCCCCCGAACGTGGGGCGCTCGACTTACAATCTGAGGGTCGAGAGTTCGAATCCCCTGCCCCCGAACGTGGGGCGCTCGACTTACAATCTGAGGGTCGAGAGTTCGAATCCCCTGCCCCCGAACGTGCTCGCCCTTTTTTCAGCCGTTGAGGCATTATAATGTGACTGTCAATACCACTATTCGTTTGTAAAAGAGTAGCCCAAGAATTGGTGGTGGGTAGTGTCGACTAGCTGCCTTCCATCTAATCTATCACTGCTAAATTAGGGATCTAACGCAGATAGCCATCGTGTAGCATTCCGCGAAGTTCAAGACAAACCAAACCGAAGAATTGTCTCTTATTTCTTTCTCAAGATCATTGACTGAAAAAAAGGGTATTTCCACACCTGCTTTTCAAGCATTAAGGGACTATACCTCTAAGAGCATTACCTAAAGTACTTTTCAACAATCAGCCAAAGGTACTGATAGAAATATTGACGTCTAACAGCTCAATACCTTAATTTATTTTAAAATTCAACACTCAAGTTCAACTGACAAAATTAAATAACTTTCAGATAATGTAAACCCAAATTCCATGCAAAATAGTAGACGAAAACTCAAATAACAAATGTTCCTTACAGATGGTAGATGATACTGTAGAAAAGAGGCTTAAACATATTATCATGGTGGACAATCCCAACGTAATAATTATACAGTGTGACATACAAATTCTCATTCCTTCTATACTGATATAACATATTGTATCATTTTTCTTCATGTGATCAGAGAAAGAAGAATATAGTTGTGACTTTGCCACAGTGTAAACAATTGCTAAGTAGTATGTGTTCAAATATGCTATATATATATATATATATACGCGTGTGTATTGAATTTGATCATATCAGTTAATTAAACAAACAAAAATAAACTTGTTGGCAACTGTTAATGTATCCTTGAGAAACTGACCAGGTTACTAGCCAGAATGTTGACGTGCAAGGGTAGGAAAGGGGGGCCTTTGTTCCGCAAATTGTTAAATCAGAGAGATTATTGAATTATGTAAAATATTTTGGCCAATGAGAATAGAAATAAATAAGAGAAATGGAAGGATGTGTTCTTTTCTTTGAGCCACCAGTTTACGTTCAGTTATATTCACTGTCATCAAGGTGAATTAGTTTTTAGTTCAGAATTAAGTGAGATTATAATAATATACGTACGGAAATTTTAACTGTCTCTTTATCACGACAATGAACTTATACTAACGCAGGACTGGCATAAGCTTTAGTGTTTCGGTTCAAAGATCCCCTTCGTGATCCACAAAGGCCCAACGTATTGGTAATATTTATCCATTATTCCCTATTATGTATATAGCTACCTAAAAGAGAGGGATACGTAAATGAAACCCCCCCCCCCCCCCCCCCC